AAGTATTTTTAATTTTAATGCCCCCTAAAATTTGGCACGCTGCCTAGATTGGACATTGCGTAGGTTGCTTAGGCCTAGAACCAGCCCTGCATGTGATTAACAAGTAGAAAAGAGCATTATCTGGATTAAAATATATATATTTTTCATACAGAGACCTAATTTGTTTATGACATTTGTGGTTGCTGTTGGTTTAGGGAGCTTTAAAGGGAAATACAGGATGGTGTTCTTCAGAATTAAACAGACGCTTCAGGTTTAGAGGCAACACATCTCTCCATGCCAGGTGTGGGCAGCAGTGAAAAAGGGTGCTTGTCCTTATTATGGGATATTTTCTGAGATCAGAATGCCGAATTAGATGGGCTGTTTTGTCTCATCTGCCCAGCAGGGTTCTTATGCTTTTATCAACAGTGGGAAATTATTTCCTACCCTGAAATATAATTGAGTGAAAGGGGAAAAAAATCTTAAAAGCCCCAGGATATTCAAAAGCCTCATGACTGATTTTGATTTCTATATTGATTTGAGGAAAATACTTCATTTAACAAAACAAAAGGGAATAGCAGTTTTACTTTCACTTGAAATGACAATAGGGTGGTGCAGTTATTTGTGACACACACACAAAAAAGAACACGTTTCTAATGTTCCCTCAATCTCTGCTGATTTTATGAAATTATTCATGCACCTTAACAAGAAGTGTTTCTATGGAAACTGAGAAACTGAACTTTCATTAGGAAACCTACTAAAGAGAAAGAGAGGGAGAGAGAAAGAGCCCAGCTAAAAATATAAATTGCCTTCTGCAGGAGGGTGCATGAATATTCTTGTTGCTCCCTCCTCTCCCTCTCCCTCTTCCCCCCCCCCACCTTTCCATTCTGCATCGTGGGCAGATCCCAGCTGGACTATACACAGCAATAACATGGAGGCATTGTTTACCACTTGCCAGACTCTGTAGGGAGATGTAAAATTCTGCCAGAGCTTTGCAGCTCTCAAGGGGAGGTTTCTTCAGGGAAACAGAGCGTTCAGTGCTGTGTGTCATACTAGCTTTTCAGAGTCAAAAATATATAGGTTTTTTTTTTTGAGGTGGGGGAGCTGTCCTGAGACTGTGATTCTTCGTCCAATCCAGACAGAACTGAGGCTGTTGCTTTTTTGTATAAATGTCCCCCCCCCCGTGTCAGCCCTCCCCCTGAAGACGCATTGGGTGAGATGAAGGAAGTACCAATGTAAGACTGCCTGACTCCTCATCCGTAGCACAGCAGCTGGCACCCCTCTCCCACCCCATTTCCAAATCTCAAGAGCAGCTGGATCCACGGGCTTGATCATCCCCTTGCCCACTCCCACTTCAAGGGAATGTGACTGGCTTGGGACCAAAATTCATAAAGACGTCCCTCCCGAACTTTCTGTGTTTTGAAATCGACTATTGAGCCCGTCTTCCTCATTTTTCCTTAACAAAAGTAAAATATGGAAAACAGCAATGACACACAAAAAAAGAAAAAAAAAGAGGTGTTTGAGGGGTAGAACATTACCTCCATAAAAAAGTACAGGTAGTCCTCAACCTACAACCACAATTGAGCCCAACATTTCTGTTGCTAAGTGAGACAGTTAAGTGGGTTTTGCCCCATTTTTACGACTTTTCTTGCCACCATTGTTAAGTGAATACTGCAGTTGTTAAGTTAGTCACACGGCTGTTAAGTGAATCTGGTTTTCCCCATTGATTTTGCATGTCTCAAAAGGTGATCACATATCCTGGGACACTGCAACTGTCATGAAACAGTTTTCAAGCGTCTGATCATGTGACCATGGGGATGCTGCAACGGCCATAATTGCAAAAACGGTCATAAGTCACTTTTTTCAATGCCATTGTAACTTTGAATGGTCACCAAATTGTTGCAAATCAAGGACTACCTGTAGACCAGGGGTGTCAAATCAAAGTCCACAGGCCGGATCTGCTTAAATCTGCCCTGCGGGGCCAGCCTGGAAATATCAAAAGACCAGCCTGTGGCCCGTTTTTGGTCTCCAGCAGCACTTTGCTGGCCGAAAATGGGTGCTGCTGAGGCCCCATGGGGCCTCCACGTGCCCTGTTTTGGCCGGCAGGGTGCTTGAGGAGATGTCTGTCCTATCTCCCCCCAACCCACCCACCCCACCGGCCCGCAGAGGAGAACTACAATGCTGATCCAGTCCCCAAAGAAATCCTGCTGTAACACCCCTGGTGTATTTTTTAAACCATTTTTTTGTTTTCCTAGGCACCTTGAGAAAGACCCAAATCTTTTCTGGTTTTTACTTGGTCCTTCATTTTATTGTTAACTAGACGATCCATGACCCACTGAGTAATTGTTTCAGAGATGTTTCCTGCGCCTTAAACTGCAGAACAGAATGACCAGAGACAGACAAAAAAGCAGTGGATGCAGGAGCAACTTCCAACTTCTTGCGAGCTTCCCCATTGAGTTTCCTTGAGGAAAATTGGCATGGAATATTGGAAATGATGATCATGTAACCACAACTGTCTCTGGCAGCTTGGCAGCCGCAACTTTGTCAATTTCAATCCCAGAGGAGTAAAACGTCCAGATTGTGGACACATTCTTTAAGCGATGCATTGTTTTGCTCAATTGAAGATCATAGACAAACAGAAGTGTTTTAGTAGCATATAAATGCTACCATCTGTGGTCACGCTTGTTGTTTCCTATATAGGTTGTTTTCAACTTACGACCACAATTGAGCCCAACATTTCTGTTGCTATGTGAGACATTTGTTAAGCGAGTTTTTCCCCATTTTACGACCTTTCTTGCCACAATTGTTAAGTGAATCACTGCAGTCGATGTTAGTAATGCAGTTGTTAAGTGTATCTGGCTTCCCCGTTGATTTTAATTGTAAAGGTTGCAAAAGGTGGTCATGTGACCTTGAGACTTAGCAATGATCATAAGTATGAACCAGATGCTAAGCATCTGAATTTGATCACATGATCATGGGGAGGCTACAAAGGTTGTAAGTGTGAAAAATGGTCATAAGTCACTTTTTTCAATGCGTTGTAACTTTGAACGGTCACTAAATGAAGTGTTGTAAGTCAAGGACTACCGGTATAAATACAGTGCAATAAATTGTTGTTCATGATTATGCTTCCAAATCTATTGGGTGAAGGGCATTAGGCACTTACTTCAAACATCTTGATAGACAAGTTATCCAACCCACAGCAACTGGGCTGGAATCAGCATCTGGTATCTTTGGCAGTGGGCAGAACCATCACTACTGCCAGCTTGGCCTAGGCCCGTGATGGCGAACCTACGGCATGAGTGCCACAGGTGGCATGCGTAGCCATATCAGTGGCCACATGAGCCCAGCTCCGGCGCACACTGATTTTTGGGATTTCTGGGCCCACCAGAAGTAGGGAAACAGGCTGTTTCCTGCCTCTGGAGGGCCTGGGGGGGTGGGGAGGGCCTGTTTTTCTTTCTCACCTGGCTCTAGGGCCTCTCTACGAGTCTGGGGAGGGTGAAAATGGCCTTCCCCCCCTCCCCCGGAGGCCAGAAATGGCCTGTTTTCCAACTTCCGGTTGGACAGGATGTGACTATTTTGCTGTCCCAGCCTCCAGAGCCTTTCCAGGAGTCTCTGGAGGCTGGGGACAGCAAAAAAGTCACTTCCTGTCCAACCAGAAGTTGGGAAATGGGCCGTTTCTGGCCTCCGGAGGGCCTCCAAGGGGATGGGGAAGGCCGTTTTCGCCCTCCCCAGAATCATAAGAGGCTCTGGATCCAGGTGAGAGAGAAAAACAGGCCTACTGGGCCATCGCGTGCCGGGAGCGGGGGGGTGTGCACACATGCGCGGGAACGGGGTGCATAGAATTATGGGTGTGGCCATGCGCGCACGTGACCCCCCTGCCCCTCCCCTCCTGGCATGCGATGGCAAAAAGGTTAGCCATCACTGGCCTAGGCTAACAGCAGTTGTAGTCCAAGATATTTGATCAGTGGACCTGAGTAAGGGAAAACTTTTTAGGATTCAGAATATTTTCTTTTGTTAAAAAATAAAGGCAATAACAAAAAAGAAGTTGTCTTTCTCTTGATCATCCTAAGAGAGACTTCGGTATTTTGGTATCTTTCTGTCAGTCAGGTCTTGAAAAAAACCTGGCCATGGGCCTGTGTATCAACCTTCACAAGTCTATGCATCAGTTTCCTCATATACATTGTGGGAAGGTTTGTTGTAATGCTTTATGGAAGATAATAATCTTGGCATTTACAGTCTTAATGCATCTGGAAGCTACTGGGTTGGGGAATACTGGTTTTATTCTTCAGAGCTAGAATATATTTCTGTCTCAGAGTACAACAATGCAATGCTTTTCACTGCTGTAAATGTTCCAAAAGCAAAATGTTCCATAAGCTTGGGGGATGTTCCTATAAGATACTTTTTGTCCAATGCACCATCTGTGTTCTTATGGCCCAAATCAACATCAAGTACCAGGACATGGTGAAATGACTGGAGAATTTTTCAGTTTTTCTAGACATTCCATTGCTGAACCGAGGGTTCTTAAAAGTGTCAAGGGAGAATTGGAATAAAAATTTGAGGAATTGGAGCTCACTAACTAGCAAAAAATATCAGGCTACAAGTTAAATGATACACTGCTTATGTTTAAGGAAATCATTCGGGATACCTTGTTATTACACTTGGACTCTGTATTTGAGAACAAGGGCTATATATAGTTCGGTAGTACAGCTCATAGCATCCATGTTTAGTTCTTAGAATCGCCAAATCAGTCTGAAAAAGATTCTGGGTGAAATCCAAGAAAGAGCTACCATAATTTGCCTGCAAAATTCTGGGCAACCACAGTAATTATAGTTTCGTATGTCACTTCACTGCCATCTAGTGGTTGTCAAGATTTTTGCAGTCTACATAGATACTGCTAACTCTGACAGAGAACTTTAACAATATGGAATATTAGACTGATTCAGTATCTTCTTATTCTCCTGTTTTTATCCATCAAACAATTAAGTTTTGTTGTGATTAACACTGAGTTACTTTTCCTTTGGCAGGGACTGGTACTCAACAAGCTTGGGCGAAGAAATTTGGCTCAGAAGGTTCTTCAGGATGCAGTCCAGATACAGAGTACCAGCCACAAAGCCTGGAACAGCCTTGGAGAGGTCCTTCATGCTCAGGGCAAAAATGAAGCTGCTGTTGAATGCTTTCTGACTGCTTTGGACCTTGAATCCAGCAGCCCTATAATTCCATTTACAGTTATTCCAAGGGAATTGTGAATGTTTTAGTATTAACTCATCAAATGTGTTATGTGGAGAAAGTTTAGGTGATAAGCAGTCAATTTACAGATGTGTGTGTGTGTAAAGAAAAGCTTTATTCATGGTAATGATTCTGTTTCAAGAATATCACATTTTAAGCTGATTCACTACCAGATTCTAGCTTAGTTCATACATAGCATTAAGCTATAACATATCTGTTTGGTTGGGTTATTTTGTTTTGCTCTGAAGACTATTTTTGATCTCCCATTTGAGATGTCAGTTAGTCAGACTTCCAAGAGGAATTCTCACTGCATTTTTTAAAGACTTATAGACTTTAGGAATTAAAAAGGGTGAGAATGTCAGGTGGACACATTCTTCATTCCTTGCCTTAAATTATTGTGGCCGAGGATATAAAAATAAAATAAAATTGGAGAAAATAATAGGCATTTCCAGAATACCGATAGAAGAGAATATTTGTAACTCAGGGTTGAACTGTGGGGTCCGAGGTGCTCTGGTAGCTTGGTTGTTTCCTTGCCCTGTCAGGGCAAACCCCTTGAATATAAAATGAGAGCAAACTCCACTCCTTACTAACACTGATCTTACCTAGTTTAGTAATGAAACATCTGTAAGAAAACAACCAAGTCCGGAGAGCACTAGGTACCCCGTATTTCCAGAATATTTTATTAATAAAAATTAGGGCAACTCAGCTTTAAAATTTCAGCAAGGATTTTGTTCTAGACCACCAGAAGTTTTGGGACATTAAGACACCAAGGCTACTGCTTGAGATACTGACAGGGACACATCTCTTACAATATCTTCTTTAAGATATTGCTCCATAGCTGGGGATCATTAGAGCTAAAGATAAATCATTAAAAACTCACAAAAATTGCTTGTACAAACCATGTACCATGATGGAGATGTTGGGATGCACAAGGGACAAAATTATTACATAATTTGGGACCTATGGGTTTGGGACCTATTGCAGACTATTACAATGGTCTCTGAGTCTAATTTGTCAAATTTTAAGCTAAATCAGTTTTGTTTGTGCTCAGGGATATATAGAATAAAAGTATAGGCATCTGTGAAAGCACAGTAATGATATATAACTTAGCTTCTTGGTTCTTTGTATCATTTTATCCTTTTGTTCCATTAGTAGTACACGGCACAAATAACAGCATGTTATTCCATATAACTGACCTCTTGCCTCTTAAAATTTTCTTTCCAGCTTAGAGGAGACAATGTAGAAGAGTCATTTTACTAATATTTCAGTTGTGTTGGTATTTACTTTTAATTAGGCTGCTGTGATCATTCTGACTGATCTCATGTACTTACCTGAGCTAGTTCATTTTCCCATAAAACATACTATCAATAACCGGATTAGATAAAATAGGTGTAAGCACCTATGGTATGGCTATCTAAACTTAACCCACCGCTGCTTTCTTTCTAAATCTCAATTTAAAGTAGGATTGGGGTGATTTTTTTTTAGTCTTTAGGACAGAAATCACCTTAAAGTTCCAATTTTTAGAAGATAAAAGCCCTATTTTATCTCATATACATAATCAAGGTGCTGATTGAGTAATACAAAACTTGAATTTGGATAGCACAAACATTTGGCAGAGTACTGCATAATCAACTAAACAATTTTTTCAGGCTAGATTCCTCACATAACAGGACCCTCCCCAAATGTCCTTTCTCCATTATTGTACCACTGGCAAAACTGGGGCATTACAATTAATTTGCAGGAAATAACTAAGGCTTACTATGGCAGTGATGACTCATCACCTGGCAACCACCATTTCCCTCCTTGGTAACCCGGTAAATGATGCCGCATCTTCATAAAGCAATGCTTCAGTGAGGTTGAAGAAGGCAAACACATATCAGGATCCATGTTAAGACTAGGACCAGACATTCTGTAGTCTGTAGTGATGAAATGCTTCGAGAGATTGGTTCTCCAACACCTTAGGACATGCCTCCCACCGGAATTTGATAAACATCAGTTTGCCTACAGGGGGAATAGGTCGACAGACGACGCCATAGGTACTGCTTTACATTCTGTAGTGAGCCATCTGGAGAAACCCGGGATGCTTTTCATAGACTATGCTCGGCCTTCAATACCATTCTGCCGAGCATCCATATCGAAAAGCTGACTGACTTGGATTTTCTCTCTTCCATCTGGAAGAGACTGGATCAAAGACTTTCTGAGGGACTGGCCACAAACAGTGAAGGTTGGGTCTGTCATATCCACCCCCCTGAAGTTTAGCACTGGCTCCCCACAGGGCTGTGTGCTTAGTCCCTACCTGTATTCACTGTACACACGATTGTGTATCGTCTGACCCATCCACTGTGATCATTAAGTTTGCAGATGACACCACCGTACTGGGTCTTATTACAGGTGGAGATGAAACAGCATACAGGGGGAGGTTCAGAAACTATCCACATGGTGCTTAAAAAACAACCTGCACCTGAACATCAGCAAGACCAAGGAGATGGTGTTGGACTTCTGGAGGAAGAGAGAGGAACCTGCCCCACTTTACATCAAGGGGGGCTATGTAGAGAGAGTTTCCTCCTTTAAATTCCTGGGAGTCCATCTCAGCGAAGATCTCACCTGGAAAAACAACACGATCCAGGTGGCCCGGAAGGCCCAACAGAGACTCCATTAACTTAGGGTGCACTGACGGAGCTCAACCAATCTCATTGTACATATGTTGTGCACTGACAATAAAGATTTGAAATTGAAATTCTCAGATATCTGTTTATTAGCCAGTAAACTTCACATTTGTGCATAACAGCCTCAGTAGTGTTTAATGGTTATGAAACTTTTCATATACAATGTAGTAGTATATATAAAATATTGACTCCATTAAACTCTGAAGATTGGGTGAGTTTAAATAATTGCAATTTGAAAAACGGTTACATGAACTGGGCATGGCTAGCCTAGTGAAGAGAAGGACCAGGGGAGATATGATAGCCGTCTTCCAATACTTGAGGGGCTGCCACAGAGAGGAGGGAGTCAAGCTGTTTTCTAAAGCACCTGAAGGCCAGACAAGGAATAATGGATGGAAACTGACCAAGGAGAGATTCAACCTAGAAATGAGGAGGAACTTTCTGACAGTGAGAATAATCAACCAATGGAACAGCTTGCCTTTGGAAGTTGTGGGAGCTTCATCACTTGAGACTTTGAAGAAAAAATTGGACTGCCATTTGTCAGAAATGGTGTAGGGTCTCCTGCTTGAGCAGGAGGTTGGACTAGATGACCTATAAGGTCCCTTCCAACTCTGTTAATCTGTTAAATCTTAAATTTGCTGTATCAGCATAGATGCTAACTTATTTTATTTACAGCCAACTGTTTTGGAAACTATTATTATGTATTTATTGAGAGTATTATTTGGGCACTCTTCAGACAAATATAGTTTCGATTAGATGCCACTGACAAAAATAATAACTGTATCTAATTATTACAAATCCATTCCATTAATTTATATAAGACTTAGTCAAAACTCCCTTTTGTTGCAGTATGTGTTTTTGCGAAGGAGAAAACTTACAACCCCTGCCAGGGATGAGTTGTTTTATGGGGTTTTATTATATGATGGATATTTTAAATTTTATAAGCTGCCCAGAGTCTCTTATTGTTGGTTGGCAATATAAATGCGTTAATGGATGGATGGATAGGTGGGTGGATGATAGACAGATAGATAAACATAGCTGGAATTACATCTTACTACATGAGGCCACTTTGAGTTACAGTTTGGCAATATCTGGAGAGTCATAGATAGCCACTCCATCTTAGAGAAAGTAGAAAACCATGAAAATTAATTAACTATATAAACATGATTAATTAGGAACTTTTCACTGATGAATATGTGAGGTTTGAAGGTCATTAGTTACTTAGAATACTTTGATACATTATACATTATTTTGCCCCTTTTGCTCTTATGTCCATAATTCTAATATGCAATATTCCCCAAGAAAAAATACATCATATCGTATTTCATTTGGAAGCCAGTCTGCAATGCCTTTGAAATTTGATATGCCTTTTCACAATGAGACATGACAACACTGAGTTTGAAACAGCTTTCGCCAGATGAATGAACAAATCCCAGAGAGAAAGATGTGTTGCGCATATTAGGTCATTTCCTGCTGCTTCTCATTCTTTGCAAAGAATTTGTCAATGTTCACAAATCAAATCCTGAATGATGCCTACTTGTTGCAAAAGACAATTTAGTATATTTCTGTGGGGTTCTTATAGACGGTAAAGGGAAGTATGCTATCCACGAAGAATCAAGGTTGGTACCATATGAAATAGAACCATGGAATCAGAAGAGACCATTTAAACACCAGTATAGGAATTCAAAGGATCCCTGACAGAAGGCTGTCTAGCTGCTTTTAAACACTCATGGAGTCCTCCATCTTTTTGAATAATTATTTACATGATCAAATTTACTATTGCAAACTTTTCCAACATTAATTTGGCATATGCAGTTCTTTTATCATAAATGTTTCGTGCTCTACTTACTAAGCTAATAAAGAATTTGGCTTTCTTTAAAGTGTCCACCTTTCAATTATTTGAAGAATGCTATCATATACCACTTCAATTTTCTGAAGATTAAAGATTTCCAGTTTATGTAATTGCCAGTCATAGCTTTTAGTTTCTACTGTACACTCTGATCATTCTTACTACATTTTCTGAACTTGTTCCAGTTTGAATTCTGTAAGTATGAAACAAAAAAATAGATTTAATACTGGAGGTAAGTTCTGATCAATGCAGTATACAGTATGACACCAAGTTTCATATGATTTGGACTATACATATGTATACTGCCTTTTTGACAGCCAAATGGAACTGCTACTAATCCAGTATTCAAAAATCCCTTTCACAATTAAAATTATCAAGCCAAGTGATTCCTATTTTATGCATGATATATTTGATTGCTGTTATTTTAATCTCACTTCTCTAATCTTTCCAGATTATTTTGAAATTTATTCTCTGCAAATAAATATATAAGCATTTCCTTCAGTCAACTCAAGACATTAATAAAAAATACTGAAAAGTAGAGGAACCAGGACTGAATCACATGGCACCATCGCTATTTCTCTACAATTTGATGAGGAACCATTAATATGCTTTTCAGACTACCTATGTGTCACTTACCAGTAATGCCACTCAATTCACATTTAACTGCTTTGCTAATTACAAAATCATAGAATTTTTTTTTAATGTTTTTCTGAAATCGGGGTATGTTATGTTTACAGCATTCCTATAATCTACCGGTATTAGAAAAGATTCACTGTGTAAAAAAATTAAATAGTTCTTTTGACAGGACTTGTTCTTGACAGATCTTGCTTACCTCTGCATTACTTATAAATTATTTTATGTACTGATCCATAATATTTTCAGATACCAGTGTTAAACTGACTGAATGGCAGCTCCCTAGATCCCCCTTTCCTCTCTTTTTGAAGATAAGAGTCATTTACTCTTTTCCTGTTGTTTGACACTTTACAGTATATTTACATTATGTAAGGGGTCAGCTGAATCCCATCAGTAAATTCCTTCATTATCCTAGGATGAAAGTCATCTGGCCCCTGAGATTTAAATTTACTCAGAATAAATGTGATATTTATATCAATCCCAAACCTGGTCTTCATTCTGCTGTTCAGAATTGCCAGATGAATGTATGTTCTTTTTTAAAAGAAGGCATTGCTCTTATGTGTATTTTTTTTCTTTTCGGGACTTTGTTAAATTTGAATGAACAATTACATTGCCTTCTTCAGAATTCACATTTTCTTATTAGGATTACTTGTGCTTTTAAACTCTCTATTTTAAAATGTCCCATCTATCTTTGCAAGATCCCTTTCTTTGTGAAACCATACCGGCTGTTTTTCCCAGTCTTTCAGAAGAATTGTGCCTTATATCAGGGTTTTCATAACTGTTCTGCTGAAATATAATATCCATGAGAATTTGAGGGGTTCCATGAGACACTACAGGGGGGAAAAGTTCATCATCATTGGAGAACTAGAAAGCACTCAAACAAAATCAATTTTCTAGTGCAAAAATTTTGCCTTTTGATCAGAGGTTCTGGGATGTTTTTTAAAAAAAATTAACAGGTCCGAAGTCTAAAAGTTAGAAAACCCCTGCTTTAAATAGCATCTTTTCAAGGAACCTTCACCTTTCTTACTATTGTTTTCTCATTAGTTGCCTCCAGTCTGAATGTTGCTTATTTTTGCTCTCTCAGTGGTTATGATTTAAAACAATTTCTGAATTGTTCAAATGTGTTAATTTGACTATATCTTCTGCTTCCTCTGACCTAATTCTGGTGAGAAAGAGGTAGACAGAGATATGGTAAGTATAAATATGGTTTGTGACCTAATCATGTCTAAAGCAGACTCTAGTTCATGGGGAGTCATTATACAAATTCTCCTTCAGGTTCCAAAGGGAATATCCATGAGGGTGAGAATCAGGTCTAAATAGAAAACGTTTTCCCATTTCCATAACCTCATTCACAGGCCATGAAAGGAATGAGAGCTTTTCAGCAGCTTGTTAATGCATGTGATATCTTCTGCTTCTGCTTCTGCTTCTGCTTCTCCCGGACTACATAATTACCTTCTCGTCTCAAAATAGAATAGAATAACAGAGTTGGAAGGGACCTTGGAGGTCTTCTAGTCCAACCCCCTGCCCAGGCAGGAAACCCTACACCACTTCAGACAAATGGTTATCCAACATCTTACCAAGGCATTATAAAGTGGTATTAACACTTCATCTGATCTTGATTCTATCCCTCTGTTTATGCAGCCCAGAACTGTGTTGGCTTTTTTGGCAGCTGCTGCACACTGCTGGCTCATATCTAAATGGTTGTCCACTAGGACTCCAAGATCCCTCTCACAGTTACTTTGTCACTTTGTCAAAGAATGTCAAAGAACTAGAAGGACTAGAGAAAATAAGATGCCCCACAGACTCATCATTTGTAAGAATAGCATGGTGGCCATATTCCCAAATTTACAATAGACAAAAGAGCTGTTAAACAACAAGACTCTATTTAAGTGATTGTGAAATTTAGTTTTGTAAAGCCAGTAGTTCGTGTCTGATTAAAAGAGAAAGAATTATAAGAAAAGGAGGCATATAGATCACTTGGTCGTGAAACAGTTCTAACTGCATAGATTTTGTATCTCATGAATGCCTTGATTGCTGCAAAAAACACTGCATTTTTCAAAGTGGCCCCCTGCCTTTGTTTTCCATCAAAGCTCTGTTGTAGTTTTTCCCTGACTGCTTTTATAACAGGCAATCACAATTTCAATGTGCTACTAGCTATAATGTTTTCAAAGTTACAATAGTGTTGGGGGTTTCTTCGTGAGTCAATGCTAGGAGAATGGTTTATATAATACATGAAGGGGGGAAATAAAGCTGGGAAATTTTCTCCTGGCATAATGAAACTATTCAACAGTAGTAAGAGCAGGGGTGAAATGCTCCCGGTTTGGACCGGATCGCCCGATCCGGTAGCGATGGTGATTTGGAGAACCGGTAGCAAAAATCCCTGCAGCCCCCTCCCCACCATGCCCAGCTGAGCTGCACAATCCTCAGAGGCTTTTTTTTTTACTTTTAAAAGCATTTTTTCTACAACCTCTGGCCGAAAAAATGCTTTTAAAAGTAAAAAAAAAAGCGTCTGATGATCGCGCGGCTCAGCTGGGATTGTCAGAGGCTTTTCAAAGCATTTTTTTCTGCAACCTCTTGGCTGAAGAGGTGGTAAAAAAATGCTTTGAAAAGTCTCTGATAATCCCAGCTGAGTTGCCTGATCATCAGAGAGGCTTTTCAAAGCATTTTTTAAAAAAGCTTCTCTGAGGATCCCAGCTGAGTTGCCTGATCGGCAGAGGCTTTTCAAAGCATTTTTTTTGCAATCTCTTCAGCCGAAGAGGTTGTAGAAAAAATGCTTTGAAAAGTTAAAAAAAAAAAAGTTGGCCATGCCCACCCAGTCACATTACCCCCCCACCAAGCTACGCCCACAGAACCGGTAGTAACAAATTTTACATTTCACCCCTGAGAAAGAGGGATCTAGATATCCTAGTGGACTACCACTTAAGTATGAGCCAGCAGTATGCTGAGCTCATCCAAAAAAAAAAAATCAACAAAAGTCCTAGGCTGCATCAACAAAAGAATAGCATCAAGATTATGAGAAGTGATAGTACCACTCCAAAGAGATCTAACTTGGAACTGAGGAGACATTTCTTGACCGTAAAAGCAATTTATCAATGGAACAGCTTGCCTTCCGGAGTTGGGATGCTCTATTTTTTGAGATTTTCAAGAAAAGATTGAACAGCCATTTGTCTGAGATTGAATAAGGTCTCCTGCTATGGACAGACAATTGAAACAGAGGTCCTTTTGAGTCCTATGATTCTGTGATTCTAATTACAAGAAATGATGATGATAACAAACAGACTTTCTGATCCTTTCCAAACAGGCCGGTGAAGAGGAGGAGTATTCCCTCTTCAAATATAGAAGAAGAAGAAATTGATGGTTTGAATCTTCAGGTTTGAAAGCAAAAAGATGCTTTCATTTTGATGTAGAACAGATTAGAGAAACAAAGACATGCAGCCCAATGCTACTGTTATTATAAGAGTATGGTAACAGAATCTTGAAAGTCTTCTCCCTCCCTTCCATTATCTTTGTGAGAACTAGGGAAGGTCTTGTCTGAGATGTGTTCTAAGGTTATAGTTCTGCTCTGGACTCAGGTTTTAAAATCAGAAGCTCCTTCTGATTCTCAGTATTATTCCTTCTGCCCATTAGAATGAGACAGCGAATAGGAGTGAGGCAGAAGTCATGGTATGCAAAAATGAACTTGGGGGACAGAAGGAAGAGCCATAGACCAGACAACTATCATGCAAAAGGAATTTCATCACACAAGAGGAAAAGGAGCATGGGGAAAATCTCAGAATGGACTCTGCCTAGTTTTCTAGAAAATAAAAGTAAATGAGGGGACATGTTTTCAGACTTGCTAGATTCTGTTGCTGTAATCTTACAGTAAAGGTGATTTTAGTGCATAGTTTGTGCTTCTTGTCTGGAATACTTCAAAGGACTGACTTTGAAGTAACCACTATCCATAACCACCTCATCCCTGTAGTCTGTCACCGAATTGTAGATTGCTTGTACAGCATGACTTGTGTTAGGATGAGAAGAAAATTTATCACTTCAACAGTGGAACATCTAAAAGCTATGTCATGCAATCTGGAGATTAGATGGAAATGACATCATGAGGGCATGCCCCTTCAAAATAGGAAGATGTCTTCATGCCGCAGTTAATGGGTTGATGAGTTCTTAAGCACTCTGAAGTGTACACCAGGTGATTATAATAAGAGAGAAACTAAATAAAGATACATCAAGATACTTAAGTCAACTACATTCACCTGACAATCCAAACCTACTGACAGATTTTTCCCTGCAATCATGCCCTTTTGATTAACTGCTGCCACAATTAGAAGTGCCCTGAAAATTGCTGTGTTTATAAATGAGTAATAAGAAGGTTTCCTCGTCCACTTGTCATATGAGAAGTAT